GTGGACCGGCACCAGTCCATGACCCGTTAGGTACCGGGCCGCACAGCAGGAGGTGAGCAGCAGATAAGAGAACATTACCGCCTGAGCTCCGCCTCCCGTTAGCTCAGCGGAGGCGTTAGATTCTCGTAGGAACGGGAACCCTATTGTGAACTGTGCACGTGAGGGACCTAAGGGGCCTGCTCCTTATGAGAATCTAATGCCTGATGATCTGAGGTGGAACAGTTTCATCCCCAAGCCATCCCCACCCCCAAGCCCTGGCCATGGAAAAACTGTCTTCCACAAAACCAGTCCCTGGTGTCAAAAAGGCTGGGGACTGCTGTGCCAGATGCAAGACTGGTCCTGAAGACAGGCTGCAAATTCTCAGAAAGCAATGGCCTCAGGAAGCGAATCATTCAAGCAACCTGCTCAAGCCCTGCTGTGCCCCGTCAAGCCTGAAGTTGGCCACTTACTATGACCACTGGACTTGTCCTCAGTATCTCTGCAAAGCGAGGGTGGTAGCCCTGCCTCCAGCACTGGTGGATAATCCCGGTAAAGGGCGGGCCAGCAGCAGCCACCGGGCAAATAGGCCTCTCGTCCCTTCTTCCGTATCTCCTCATTCTTTTCTTGCCACTGGTTAGAGAAAAAATGTCAAGGGGTGAATGTAAAATAAAGTGAAAGGTCGTGTTTTAGGACCGCTGAGTGGCCCTTGGGCAGTTCCCTTTGGCCATCCAGTGACTCTGACAGGTGATTTCAAAGTGCAGAGTTCAGTGGAGGACTGACTACTCTTGCTTGTGCCTAGCTGTTAACATTCTAGAAAAACTAACTGAAGTAACTTCAACTTTTACATGAAATGGCTTTATTTCCTCCCGAGTCCCAATTCAACAGTCTATCCAGCAGCCACAGCCGGGTCCTGTTAGGGACTAAACTGTGTCCCCACAAAACTCACATGGAAGCCTTAACCCCCAGTGCCTCAGAACGTGACTGTTTGAAGAGTGAGGTCTTTAACACGTAACTAAGTTCAGATGAGGCTGGAAGGGTGGGCCCGAATGCAATCTGACTGGGGTCCTTATAAGAGATGAGGACACACACAGAGGAACGACCACGTGAGGACATGGGGGGAAGGCAGTTGTCTGCAAGGCAAGGAGAGAGGCCTCAGGAGGGAGCAGCCCTGTGACGCTTGATCTCAGACTCCAGCCTCCAGAACGAAGGGAAGGTGGGCCACTGCTGAAGTCACCCATCAGGGGTGCCGTGGTGGCAGCCCGAGCTGAGACAGTGGCAGACAACACGCTGGGAGCTTCCGACAGGAAGGAAGGGGCAGGCCAAAGCCTTGGAAAACCAACCGCAAGGGATGCAATCCAACCCCAGGAGCTCCCAAACTCAAGGCCACTCTGGACAAAGGCTGACATCCAGAATTAGCGGGATGGGATGGGCCTGACGGGGATGGGGAAGGCAACAAGCAGACTTTGTCCGCAAACAACGGAAACCCAGGGCCACGGCCTTCCATGACTGGGATGGGTAGTGCTTACAGGTGCGAGCAAGGTGGCTCAGGGCTGCTGGGAACAGCACGCGGTGGTATTGAGGACGCAGGTTGTTCCTAGCTCTTCGCTCTGCCAGGCTCGGGTGGCTTCAGCTGTAGCCAGCTTGCAAGATGACTGGAGCAGTTCTAGCTGTCACATCCCAACAGGATGATGTTCAAAATAGCACCAGCACCTTTTCTCTGGAATGACGTAACCTTTCCCAGAAGCCCCCGCAGGACCTTCTGCCAACTCATCTCCTTAACCCAGCACAGACACACAGTCATTCTAAGAGTGGGCCCACTGTGCGGGGACTGGTCGGACCCTCTACTAACACCTCATTAGCAGAAGAGAAGACACAGACATGCTCATTCCCAGGGTAGAGGCTGAGGATGGCGTTGCCTGGATAGGATGGAAGCACCTGTTACAGTGGGCTCTGTCTGTACCACAATGTCGGGGGTGACCAAGGGATCCTGGAAACTGGGTCTCGTCCTCTAGAAAGGGGCCAGGCAGGCACAGGTCAGCACAGTGTGTGAGAATCTTGAAGATGAGGCAATCCTGGCTCCCTGTGAGGCAAACCAGAGGAGGAAGTGGCAGTCTGCTGCTCAGCCAGCTGTACCGAAGAGGCAGACAGGGAGTAGGGAGAGAGAACAGGAGACAGAGATGGGAGAAGAAAAAAAAAAAAAAGAGGAGGTGAGAGAAGGTCGGGGACAGCGGGGATAGAGATGTCTCGAAGAGGGTGGACGAGTAAGAGCTGGGCCAGGTGAGCAGGAGCTGACCAGCCCCCAACACAACAGAACCACTCTCGCAGCGGCTGTGTCTACGCTGGGTTAAGGAGACGAGCTGGCAGAAATCTAGGGCACATGTCTTCCTTCATATCCAGATCCGAAATGCCCTGGAGGAAGAAACAAACTGGCTGGATGTTGTGCTATAAATGATGCTGTGTCATACGTGACACTGTGTTATAAATGACACTGTGTTACAGGTGATGCTGTGTTATAAACGATGCTGTGTTATACACGATGCTGTGTTATGAACGATGCTGTTATAAACGGTCCCAGACAAACTTTCACTTTAAAATATGCTATTTACTTTTTTCCAATTATAAAAATAATACATTATCAAAATAGACAACTTACAAAACACAAAAATCCACCAAGGGAAACACAACAAAGGCCCCTGATCCTGCCATCTAGAAAGAATGGAAATCTTTCTGCCCGGAGGCACCAGCTCTGATGAAAGCACAACAGGGCGATGCCCAACACAGGCTTCCCCAGACCTGCGGTGAGGCCACAAAGGAGGGGTGCACAGCCACACACAGGTTTACAGTTCAGGAGGAGGAGACCTAAGTCTTGTCTTCAAAAAGAAAAAGCAGGCTGGGAGTGGAGGCTCATGCCTGCAATTCCAGCACTTTGGTAGGTGGAGGTGGGTGGATCATTTCGGGCTAGGAGTTCAAGACCAGCCTGGACAACATGGCAAAACCCCATCTCTACTAAAAATATAAAAGTTACTTGGGCGTGGTGGCGGGCACCTGTAATCCCAGCTACCAGGGAGGCTGAGGCAGGAGAATCGCTTGAATTCAGGAGGTGGAGGTTACAGTGAGCCGAGATCGCGCCACTACATCCCAGCCTGGGTGAAAGAGTGAGACTCTGTCTCAAACGAAAAACTGAAACAAAAACAAAGCAGCGCTCTCTCTCCTCCTGAGCCGCCGTGGAGGTCCGCCCGCCGCCGTGGAGGTCCCCCTGCCGCCATGGAGGTCCCCCTGCCGCCGTGGAGGCCCGCTTGCTGCTGCTCCTGAGGGAGTCCCTGCTCTGGCTCTTGCAGCCAGCAGCTTAGGCAGCACAGCACAATCCACTAGGACATTCGGGAATGGTTTTAAAACCGAAGTGGATTCATGGTGACTCCTTAATAATCCCGTGGACTGCTTTCAGACATGCTTTCTGGAACAGGAGGGGTGGGGAGAGCCAGCGTGTGGGGACTTCGGTGACCCTGAGGTGCACACAGGAGGGTGCGTGAACACATGTCATCGCATATGACCACTCACCTCGTGGGGACCCACCGAACCATCCACTCCGCTCATCTGTGCCCAGCCCACTGTCTCTGTATGACACCTCGTTAAGGACCAACAGAGACAAAAGAGCGCCTAGGAGAGGGGAGAATGCAGGAGCCTGTACACACGGTTCTCAGTTTCTGCAAATATAACGGCCGCCTAACATTTGGTCTTTGGTTCAAAATATTTCCCCCCTTCACCATTTTTTAATGCTGCAGAGCTCATAGCCCCTCTGGGGACAGTGTGAAGGATATGTCCGGGTCCCCTCAGGATTGGGCTGGCCTTTCTTCCTCTCAGCCAGATGGCCAGGCAAACTGGCCACCACGGACTCCCCCGTGCTCCGCGAGGCTCAGCAGGACCCATGCGGCCTGGGAGGGAGGGCAGGGACTCCCAGTGCTGAGGTGCCGGCCTGTGCATTCCGGAGGTGGCTGTGCCTGGTGGCGGTGAGGCACGGCCTGGGGGCGGAAGTCCTAGCTCTGCTGCTGGCTGCCCTCAGACCAGGCAACCCCTTCTTGTCTCACCTTCTTCCTCTGTAAAATGGGAATAACACCCACCCCGTGGGCTCCTGAAGGGATTAAATAAAACACGAGATGTACGTCCTGCAGGGCCTGGCGCACAATCGGCTTCGACATGCGGCACAGCACCCGTCCAGACCTCCCACGAGCCTCGTTGAGGGCCAACTGTCTCTCTCATTGCAAAAAAAAATTTTAAAACCTGCCTTGAGTCCAGGCCTGGGGACTGACCCTATCCAGAGCCAACCCCAGGCCAGAGCCAGCCAGGCCTGTGCTGCCGAAGAGGCCGTCAGGCCAATGCACGTGGGCCCAGCAGGGAGCAGCCGCGCGAGGGCTCTGCCAGGGATGGCTTCAGCCCAACAAAGGGCATGTGTGAAGAGGCCCCACGGCGGGCACCGAGATGACACAGGCAAAAAACCCCGGGGAAGGAGGCCCTCCCGCGGCCGAACCGGAAGCCTCACCCTCCCACTGAACGACGGCCTTCCCAGCACCGTCTGGCCCTTCGCCGCATTTCTAAACATGTCACACACACATCTGTTCCTCGATGTTCGGTCTCTGTTCATCCATCGTTCTCAAAATGAAAGTCCGGAACCTTCTGCACTAATTTTAAAGTCTGGCTGAACGTTGAGTAATGAACAAAACTGAAAACACAAAAGAAAAGGGATGGTATTTTTAATTTGTGTATTTTTACTGAAAAACGAGAAGATAACTCTACCTATAGCTTTTCCTGTCTACGTGGCCAGCCCATAAGTGAGTTCTAACTCCTATTTTCTGGACCATCTTCGGTTTTCCCGCAGTGCGACTCAAGGACGAGGCGCCTCTATGGACAGTTCCACGGCGCACGCAGCCCCAAGCCATCGCCGCAGTGGCCCTGGAGTGCACCGCCCCGCCTGGGAAAGGCACAGTCAGGCGCTCCCAGCAGGAGGAAACACACAGTGCACGCACCTGTTTAAATTTTCCCCTGATTTTGTCTAAGTCTTCATGGAGTTTATCATAAGTAGGGTCATCATAAGGGAATTTCTGGATCATTCCAATCAATGATTCTAAGACCTTCATCTTTCGGCTGTAAAGCACAGAAATACAGACTCTCAGTCATGTGCACACACCAGGTTCAACTTACGCGACAGCTATGCTACTTGCTTACTGAAACCCAGCAGGTGCGCTAAGAATGCCTTCGTTCAAAAGCTGGATGATCATTTTCTCGTTATACGAAATCATATTTATTTACCTAGCAACGTGCTTAGGCCCACACCCAGCACCTCAACAGCAAGTGTGTGCCTAGCTAAGACATGCCTCCATCCGGACCACGGGGCTGAGTGGCTGAGACAGCCTGAAGCCCCACTGACTCTCGAGGTCGCACACGCAAAAACAGACAGAACTGGGCAAGAGGGACTGGGGCTGGGCACAAGCAGCCTGCTCTGGGTCTGGGGATTTTCCAGGATTTGGAATCTTTGTGCTCAAAGCCTTCCGGAGTTCAGCTGCAAGTAAACCAGCAAACCCCTCCCTCAAAAGAGCAGAAATCAGTACTGTCCCCTCCCCAGGAAGGACAGAGCTTTGCTAGGGAGGCAAGGAGGTTCTGCAGAAAGGGTGTGCACTCAGGAGACAGCAGCCCTGGGCATGACTGCTCCCCAACACCGACCTACCAGCTCTCAACCCTGCTGGCCTTATCTGTAAAATGGGGGGGCATCCCAGTCTCCAGATGGTAAGAAATTCATTTCTGTTGTTTATCTTTTTTAAAATGGGGAGAGTAACAGCAACCTCATAGACTTCCACGAGTATTAAATAACTGACATGGGCTGGGCCTGGTGGCTCACGCCTGGAATCCCAGCACTTTGGGAGGCCAAGGCGGGTGGATCACCTGAGGTCAGGAGTTCAAGACCAGCCTGACCAATATGGTGAAACCCCGTCTCCACTAAAAATACAAAAATTAGCTGGGTGTGATGGTGTGCGCCTGTAGTCCCAGCTACTCGGGAAGCTGAGACAGGAGAATTTCTGGAACCCAGGAGGTGGAGGTTGCAGTGAGCTGAGATTACACCACTGTACTCCAGCCTAGGGGACAGAGCGAGACTCTATCTCAAAAAAAAAAAAAAAAGACATGAAGCTTGGACTCCAGCACAGAGTAGGTGCTCAATAAATGTCAGTCTCTTGGTTTCCTCTGGATCCTAGAGACCAGGGCTCTCACCTGCAGGGGTTTAAAAATAATGTGTACATCTGGTGGGGCCAGGTCCTTCCAATGAACCACAGAAGCACGTGGCCCCTGTGCCACATTGGGCCATGTGAGTGGCCAGAGTAGGCAAGATTCTCGATTACCGGGAATTTTAAAGAACTGACGGTGAGGATGGAGCGACAGCAATTCAAAGCAACCAAGACTCCTGTGTGTGTGCAAACAGCTGGTGCTCCTGGACACACAGACGAGCAAGTTCGCCAGCTGCATCCAGTTTACAAGAGCTAACGACGGCTACCTCTCTGAGAAAATACAAAACTGTGAAAGGTCAAAGCAAGTCAGTTTTAGCAACAAAGCACCTGGTTTCCAGGGAAACCAAAGGGAGACGCCAAAACGTGGGAGGTGGTTGTATGCTACCCAGTGGAGAGGACCACCCTCCGTGCTCAGCGATGCTGCTCAGACACACCCAGCCGGGCGCACCGTCAGAGGCAGCACACATCAGGCAGGTGTGAGCAGCTCAGGGCTAACGAAACAAAAGTGATGGCACCAGAGCCCCCAGGCTCAGCCCCGGCACGCGCTGCTCTGCAGAAGGGTTTCACCAGACTGCTAAAGCCGGGGACAGAAGCGCCACGCAGTTTACTGGAAAGCTAGTTACTCAACAGAAAGCAGCATCTTTTGGCCCGAGATGCCGCTCTCCATGGTTTCTTTGGTGTTACCATGCCCAGCATTTTGCTGAATGACAATGCAAGTGGCAGGTGTTTTTCTCTTAACATCCTTATTCGGAAACATTTACAGGTAAAACATGCAACATCAGCCCTTCCTCATTTAAAAAAAATAAACAAAACCTGACATATAAGATCCAAACATCCGTGACCCACTGCTCTACAATAAAGCCTTAGGTTCCAAAGAGACCTCTGGGTACTACTGGACGGGGTGAGGGTGGCTGCGAGGGGGGTCTGGCCGGGCTTCCACCAGCCCCTCGTCAACCAAAGCGGTTCTTCTCTGTTAGTTAGACTGGGTGTGCTGCGTTAAGACGTCAGCAAACCCCTGCTCTGGGGTAAGGGCTGGCAGCCTCCTGGGATGGGACCACGGACACACAGCGGAGCACTTCTCCGGGAGCCGGCAGATTCTGCCGCGGTGGGAGACAGGAGACGGGTGGAGAACGCCAAGCACACACATCCTTTTGTGGCCTGGAGTCGAGAGCCAAGCTCAGCTTTGACTGCCACCCAGTGGCGGCACAGGCTGCCAACAACGACTGCCCTGGGGTCCCCAGCTGCCCGCCACCGCCAGAGAACCAAGAGGAAAATGTCCTCAGGTGCCTCTCTACTAACCCAGAATCCCATCAGCTCCCAGCCGCTGCTACAAATGCAGCAGAAAGAACCACCAAATCAGCTGCAAGCATCCTCATTCCTAAACATTTGAGTATTCAAGATATTCAAGGTATTTCTAGAAATTCCAGATATTTCAAATAAAAGCACAAGGCACGTGGTCAGGGCGAGTGTTATCCACTCTCCCTGTGCCCCCCATGCTAGGCGAGGCCGCGAGGTGTCAGAACGACCCAGAGCACCAGCTGAGGTCTCGCGCTTGCTGCCGCCCATGAACGGCAGAGTATCCAAACCATCTCTGCCGTTTACTTGAGGGTTCATTTCCAGCTCCAGAATGAAGCTAGATAAAGCAGGGCCACGTGGGGCCTCAGTAAGTACAATGCAGGAAGAAGAGTTTTTATTTGTTTGTTTTCGAGAAGGAGTCTCGCTCTGTCGCCCAGGCTGGAGTGCAGTGGTGTGATCTCGGCTCACTGCAACCTCTGCCTCCCGGGTTCAAGCAATTCTTCAGCCTCAGCCTCCCGAGTAGCTGGGACTACAGGCACACAGTACCATACCTGGCTAATTTTTGTATTTTTAGTAGAGACAGGGTTTCACTATACTGGCCAGGCCAGTCTCGAACTCCTGATCTGGTGATCTGCCCACCTCGGCCTCCCAAAGTGCTGGGATCATAAGCGTAAGCCACTGCACCCGGCCGAGAAGAGTTTTTAACAGCTAAAAACAATTCAAATGACAGCTAACACTTATTGACTGTTGACAAGTTCCAGAAAGGAGTTAAACACATATAAATGCATTTTCTTGTTAACAGACTTAGTTGGCTACATTAAAAAACTGATGACAATGGCATCCTCATTTCTGGGCCCAAGTCATACAAAACTGTTGTAATTTGTTTATTAGAAGCTCAGGGGAAAGGTGAACGAGAAAATACAATCAATGTCAACATTATTTAATGGTAGGGTATCTAAAAGCCACGCGGTTCCCTGATGACTCCAGGTAAAAGGCAGGAGCATAGAACTCATGAGAAGCAACAACAGCCAGTGTTCATCAAACACCTAAAACGTGCCTGGCGCTTTCTGTTTAGTATTTCCGTTAAATCTCCTAACAACGCTCAAGCTTGACACTGATTATTTTCTCCATTTTACAGATGAGGAACAGACAGACTGATTACTCAAGGGCATGTCGGTAACCCATGGAACTAGAACTCCTGGTTCCTACACTAAGAAAGAAAGACACCTCCATCTTTACCTGTCCTTCTCAGTGGTGCAACTGTGCAGCAGACATTTCCATGCAAAAGCAAAACCCTGGTAGCACCCGATCTGTGAATGTGAAAAATATGTAAGAGTGAAATTAATAAGCCAACTAGCTACACTTTCATTACCAAGATCTCTCAAAACAAAAGGTGGGGGCAAAGGGCAGCGGTGCTTCTTACACTACTGTTCTGGAAGTACCCATTGGGCATTAGGCAATGGAAATTAGGAGATTAGGTCATCGGTGGGGCAGCCAGCCTCCCAGATGCCCCAGTCCTCATCTCCTGGTACCCATGCCCTATGCAGGTCCCTCGACACTCCATCAGGGTGGCTTTCGTAACCAACAGAATGTGGAGGACCAGCACAAAGCTCCTGAGTCTAGGGATAAACGCCAATGCCACCTGCCTCACCAGCTCTCTTGGACCACTCACTCTTGAATGTCACAAGGACACACAAGCAGCCTCATGGAGACGTCCATGCCCACAGTCAGGTGACAGCACCACCTTGGAGGCAGATCCTCCAATCCCAGTCAAGCCGTCAGGTGACATGGCTCCAGCTGACACCCTGAGCCAGGACCACCCAGCAAAGCTGCTCCTGAGTTCCCAACCCTCAGAAACATGTGAGACCATCAATATTTGCTGTGTTAATCCCCATGCATTTTGTGGTGATCTGTTTCGAAGCATCAAACATCCAATATAGTCATAACTGCCTCAACTCAGACTTTGCCACTACGGGCCACTTATCTGTAAGTAAGGGTCAATCTAGGACAAAGGGCAAGAGGAGAAAAAAAACCCATAAAGTTAATGAAATTTCAACGTAAACATAAATGTAATATTTTCACATGACAGAGGGCACCCATGCTTTGGACAGTGATTCAGCTGGCTTAGTACATGAGCCAGCACCACGACACTCCAACATAAACTGAGGAGACCAGGGACTTGTTTTATCTTATCCAGCCTGCATAACTTAATTATACCTACCCACAGCAAAATGCGCTCTCGGCTCTGTACTAAGAGTATTTCTCCAGCAACGGTCCATCTAGTCCATTCACTCCCACACAAAGGCACTGTGAGTTTTGTTTGTTTGTTTTCTGGACACGGAGCTTCACTCTTCTTGTCCAGGCTGCAGTGCAATGGCACGAATCCTGGCTCACTGCAACCTCCGCCTCCCGGGTTCAAGCAAGTCTCATACCTCAGCCTCCCAAGTGGCTGGGATTACAGGCATGCGCCACCACGCCCAGCTAATTCTGTATTTTTAGTAGAGACGGGGTTTCACCATGTTGGTCAGGCTGGTCTCCAACTCCTGACCTCAAGGTGATCCGCCCACCTCAGTCTCCCAAAGTGCTGGGATTACAGGTGTGAGTCACTATGCCCATCCAGCACTGTGACTTTTTTTTTTTTTTTTTTTTGGAGACGAAGTCTCACTCTGTCACCCAGGCTGGACTACAGTGGTGCAATCTCGGCTCACTGCAAGCTCCGCCTCCCGGGTTCATGCCATTCTCCTGCCTCAGCATCCGGAGAAGCTGGGTATACAGGCGCCTGCCGCCACGCCAAGGCACTGTTGATTTTAAAAGGCCTGACATTCTTACTCCATCACACTGAATATCCAAATAAATTATAAACTGTAAATGAAGAGGTTTCATCTCCAGATGGGGGTTCCCACTTACCTCAGACCCGATTTTGGCTCCATGCAGCGTGCCATGTTGCCTTCCTTCCATCACACCCAAACTACTGCCTTCTTCGTAGCCTTCCCGATACCCTTCCCCATGAAACCTGTGAAGAAGAAACATGCTTCATCAAATCAACAGAAGAAAGAATACTTTTTCCAGAAAAATTTTTCTCTCTTATATTACCCGGACCCAGTAAGACAAGCCAGAGTAAGAAGGAAAAGCCTAAAATTCAAGTTAGAAGACACAGATTCCGGTCCCAGATATACCACTTCCTAGTCTCCTCTGGAAGTCACTGTACCTCTTGTAGCCCAGTTTCTTCATCTACAACAAAGGGCTAAATCAGTGATTCCCAAACCTGATAAGAGTACTAGAGACACACAAGGAAAATTCAAAGATATTAACTCAAAAGCCTCACCGCTAGAGATTCGGTAAGTCTGGAGCAAGGCCCTGGAATCTACTTTTCTTTCTTCCTTCGTTTTTTTTTTTTTTTTCAATTTTGAGACAGGGTCTCTGTTGCCCTGCCTGGAGTACAGTGGTACAATCACAGCTCACTATAGCCTCAAACTCCTGGGCTCAAAAGATTCTCCACCTTTGGCCTCTCAAAGTCTTGGGATTGCAAGTGTGAGCCACCACACCTGGCCCAGAATCTACTTTTTGTTTTTTTTTTTGAGATGGAGTCTTGCTCTGTGGCCCAGGCTGTAGTGCAGTGGTGCAATCTAGGCTCACTGCAAGCTCCGCCTCCCAGGTTCACGCTCTCCTGCCTCAGCCTCCCAAGTAACTGGGACTACAGGCGCCTGCCACCACGCCCGACTAATTTTTTGTATTTTTAGTAGGGACAGGATGTTAGCCAGGATGGTCTCAATCTCCTGACCTTGTGATCTGCCTGCCTCAGCCTCCCAAAGTGCTGGGATTACAGGCATGAGCCACTGCGCCCGGCCTTTTTTTTTTTTGAGATGGAGTTTCACTCTTGCTGCCCAGGCTGGAGTGCAATGGTATGATCTCAGCTCATGGCAACCTTCACCTCCCAGGTTCAATTCTCCTGCCTCAGCCTCTCGAGTAGCTGGGATTACAGTGCAGGCATGCGCCACCACACCCGGCTAATTTTGTATTTTTAGTAGAGACGGGGTTTCTCCATGTTGGTCAGGCTAGTCTCAAACTCCCGACCTCGGGTGATCTGCCCGCCTCAGCATCTCAAAGTGCTGGGATTACAGGTGTGAGCCACCGCACCTGGCCCAAAGTCTACTTTTCGAAGTCTCCTAGGTAAGTCTGGTTTGCAGCCAGAGTTAGGGGGCCAAAGTTCTGTGAGTGTTCAAGTAGCACTAGCCCAAGTCAACTGCTTCCAAAAAACTGCAACATACACAGGGTTTGACATCACATTGGTAGGACAACAGAGAGAAATGGCATCAGATCACCACAAAATGTACTCCCACTGGTACCTGGAGTAGCACTGACCGTGAGGCCCACCAGTGGAACTGGCACTATCTTAACCTGCAGTCACCAAAGACGCAAGGATTGGGCTGCAGCATTCCATGAAGCAGACTGCACAGCTCCCCACTTATCAGTTATGTGACCCTGGAAAGTGACTGTGCCTCCTAGTCTGTAAATTCCGAAGAATAATTGGATCCACTTACTAAGTAGGGCTGAAGTAGATAACCAGGGTGGAACGTTTAGCTCAGCGTCTGACTCACAGCGAGAGCTAAATAAACGTCAGCAACTGACTGCTAAATGTTCGGTCGCTTTCTTAACTAACATCTATGGACGTGTCCTGTGGGCCGGGCACTGGAAGTCAGCCAGGAGGCAACTCACAGTTCCCCCACTGTCGCAGCACGAGGGGCTCCCCAGGGGCGCTGGAAGGAAAGGGGTGTGGTCGGGCACATCTATCAGCACATCTATGAATACTGCCGTATGTCCTATGGTTAAGGAACCAGAAAAAGAGGCAGCTCCCAGATGGCAAAGTCTGTCCTCCCAGAGGACGGGGCGGCCTCGGAGGAGGGGAACCACCAGGCTGAGCAGATGCTTGGGGCAGCCCTGACAGGGAAGGCGGGTCTGGAAGAGCAGCTGGGCACGTGCCTCGCCGGAGAGGGCGAGGAGAGAAGGACCAGAGCCTCAGGCCTACACTTGTCCTGCGTCCACGACCACCAGGCGCTCCCCAATGCGCACGCCCAAGGGACGCCAGGCTCCAGCAGCCGCCCTGGGCCTCAGCCGGCGGCGAATCCGCTGGGAGAGGACCAGACAGGGCGGGGTACGGGCCTGGCCTCGCCACCCACCTCTCATCCGCCATCACGATGGAATCGAATATATCCTGACTGCCAGCCATAGCGGCAAGCAGCCCGCCCTTGGCCCCCGGGATTCTGCAGCACTGCGATGCCGTCGCAGTCCCGGCAGGTTCACGCACAAACGCTCCGCTTGGGAGGAGACAAGATCCACTTCCGGAAGCGGCAGCGCGGGGCAGGCCGGGTAAGAACGGCACGCGGGAGGGTCCAAAGCGGCCGGCACATGGCGCATGCGCGGCTGCGGCGGTGGGCGGGGCTGGGCTCGAATGAAGCCCCGCCCTGGGGTCCCTCCGCCCTGCCCCGCTCCCGCAATGGGCCTGTCTGTCCGCGCTGGGAGCGTCCATTGGCCGCGTGCGGGGAGAGCCTGTATTTTACCACCGCAGATGGAACCGAATTTCCCAAAGTGACTCCGAAAGAACCAAGGAAGAAATGGAGAGTTATCAGCTGGGCGCGGTGGCTCACGCCTGTAATCTCAAAACTTTGGGAGGCCGAGGCGGGCGGATCACCTGAGGTCGGGAGTTCCAGACCAGCCTGGCCAACATGGTGAAACCTCGTCTTTACTAAAAATACAAAAATTAGCTGTGCATGGTGGGCGGCGCCTGTAATTCCAGCTACTCGGGAGGCTGAGGCAGGAGAATCGCTTGAACCCGGGAGGCGGAGGTTGCAGTGAGCCGAGATCGCGCCACTGCACTGCAGCCTGGCGACAGAGAGACACAACGTCAAAAAAAAAAAAAAAAAAAAGGAAAAGAAATAGGAAGTCATCAAACAACAGACGCCTCAAGAGGCTTCGGGCCAGGAGGCTTTGCATGTGGGATTTTGGGGGGAAATTTGTCGGTTTTAGTTCTCATATTTGTCATTTCCATGAGATGTACTTTCTGAACACGATTTTTAAAAAGCGATTTGAAACTCTAAGCAATCACGGAATTCAGATGAGAAACACCAAAAGCATTCCTAATAAAGTAAGTAGTAAAACCTCACGTGACCACTGAACATCTTTCTACCAGCCCTGGCCAATGCAGTAAAACATGAAGCAAGAAGTGCAAATACCAAAAAAAAAAAAAAAAAGGCAGAAATACTACTGTTTGCAGATGTCATGGCCCACCTAGAAAACCCAAATAGTTACCTAAGACATTCTTAGAATCCATAATCGCAGCAAGTAGCTATGTGTATGATGAATAGGGAAAAAATCAGTTTCTGTTATTCCAACAAAAATTGGTAGTAACCTGAGCAGGGATGATGATGGGAAAATTGCCTTATGATAGTCATAATATATTTCTTAGAAATAGGAATTTCTAACAATTTGAGCAGGACCCATATAAAGAAAACTACAGCTTTACCTTGACTGAGGATTGGAAAACTGGACAAGTGCAGTACCAAAGAAAATTCCATGAGATTTGGTAAAATGTGTCAAAATCCTAAACTTTTTCATCCGTATGAATAAACTAATAAAAACAACTGAGATGTTTTTGAAGAAAAAGAATGATTTTCACATGAGATATGAAACGATAAAGTGACAATATAAATATTGTGGTATGTTGCTTCAAGAAGAGACAGACCAGTGAAATAAAGTGAATGGCCCAGACAATGGACTCTCATAGATGTAAAGCCTTCTCATGTGATAAAAAGAAGAATCACAAATGAATCGGGGAAAGGGAGTATTAAGTAGTAACTATAATGGAAAATTGGTTGTTTGGGAAAACCTTGGTTCCATGTATGCCTCACACCATTCATCAAAATAATTCCAGATGAGTTAAAGAGTTAACTTAAAAAAATGAAGCACATTGGCCGGGCATGGTGGCGCACGCCTGTAATCCCAGCACTTTGTGAGGCCGAGGCAGGCAGATCACCAGAGGTCGGGAGTTCGAGTCCAGCATGACCAACATGGAGAAACCCCGTCTCTACTAAAAATACAAATTAGCTGGGTGTGGTGGCACATGACTGTAGTCCCAGCTACTTGGGAGGCTGAGGCAGGAGAACCCGGGAGACAGAGGTTGCAGTGAGCAGAGATCGCTCCAGTGCACCCCAGCCTAGGGAACAAGAGCGAAACACTGTCTCTAAATAAATAAATAAATAAATAAAGCACATTGTGCCTGTAATCCCAGCACTTTGGGAAGCCGAGGTGGGCGGATCACGAGGTCATGAGATTGAGACTATCCTGGCTGACATGGTGAAACCCCATCTCTACTAAAAAATACAAAAAAAAAAAAAAATTAGCCATCCGTGGTGATGCACGCCTGTAGTCCCAGTTACTGGGGAGGCTGCAGCAGGAGAATGGCGTGAACCCGGGAGGTGGGGCTTACAGTGAGCTGAGATCGCACTACTGCACTCCAGCCTGGGCGACAGAGCGAGACTCCATCTCTAAATAAATAAATAAATAAATAATAAAATAAAGTACATTAAAAAAATCTAGGTGGAACATTCAGACAAGTATGAAGATGCTCTTTTAACACATAAAAGTCATGAAGGAATTCTCAGCAAGCAAAACCAACATTTTACCATGTGAAAATGCAAACTTGTGTGTACCAAAAGTGATAATAAACACAATTTAAAGTTAAAGAACAATATGGGGAAATATTTGTCATAAATATTGTAACTAAAGAAATAATATTTCCGGTAAAGAGTTTATTTAGATGGATAAGAAATAAATACAACCTAATGGGGAAAAAAAAATACTTGAAACATTATTCACAAAAAGAACAATGGCTGGCTTATCAGGAAAAGCAGATGCAACCTTACTAGTAACCAAAACAATGCTCAGAAAGAATAATGAGATGCATTTCTTACCTTTTAAAATAGTTTAAGTTCTTTTTCCCCTTTTTTTAGAATTAAAAGATACTTTTATTGAGCATAGGTGCATAAATTTAAGACACCTCTTGGTCAGGCAGTTCAAAACACAGGAAAGGCATTTCTATAGATATATATATAGGTTTTTTGTTGTTGTTGTTGTTTGTTTTTACTAGCTGGGCGTGGTGGGTCACTCCTGTAATCCCAGCACTTTGGGAAGTCAAAGCAGATGGATCACCTGTGGTCACGAGTTGCAGATCGGCCTGGCCAAACAGTGAAACTTCAAAAAACAAGAATTAGCCGGGTGTAGTGGTACGCACCTGTAATCCCAGCTATTCTGGAGGCTGAGGCAGGAGAATTGCTTGAACCTGGGAGGTAGAGGTTGCAGTGAGCCGAGATCGTGCCACTGCACTCCACACTGGGCGACAGAACGAGACTCTGTCTCAAAAATAAAACAAAATAAAAGGTTTTTGCCCCTTGACCGAGTCATTTCACGTCTAAGACTTCATCTCTAGGAAATAATCAAAGACAAGTAAAAATATTATGTACAGTGGTGTTCAGTGCAACACGATTTGTAAAAGTCAAGGCAAGGAAAGCAGCTTACATTGACAAAATGGTAGAATTATGACATGTATTGTAGGATATTTATGTTGAAGACTCCTAAGCAACCATTACAAATAATATTTCAACAAACGTCACATCATGTAAAACGCTCATGATATTTCAAGAAAAAGAAAAAGGAAGCCCCTCTACTTGAGGCTGCAGTGAGCTGTGATCATGCCACTCCACGGCGGCCAGGCCAGGGCAACAGAGTGAAATCTCATCTCAAAAACATAACAAGAAAGAAAAAGAAAAAAAAAATAACTCTACATATACTAGAATTCCAATCACACCAAACACCAGTTTAAAAGAATGAAAGTAGCCAGGTGAGGTGACTCACACGTACAATCCAACACTTTGGGAGGCCAAGGTGGAAGGACTGCTTGAGCCCAGAGCTCAAGACCAAGCTAGGTAACAGTGAGACCCCATCTCTCCAAAAAATAGAAAAAAAAAATAGCCAGGTGCGGGAGTGCGCACCTGTCGCCCCAGCTACTCGGGAGGCTGAGGCAAGATGATTGCTTGTTCTCAGGAAGTTGAGCCTGCTGTGAACCGTAATCGTGCCACTGCACTCCAGCCTGGGCGACAGAACGAGACCGTATCTCAAACGAAACAAAAGAACAAACAAAAAGACAGAAAAGAAAAAAGGAAAAGAGAAAAAAGAGTGAAAGCAAGTACACCAAAATGTTAATAGAGAATATAGCTAGATTTTAGAATTACAGTAATTTTTGATGTCCTCATTTATATTTTTTGGAACATCTCATGTTTGTTTGCACAATGAACATAAATTATGTTATAAATATAAATAAACAAAAATGTTTTTGGTGGATGAAATTAAATGGACTTTGTATTATTTTGTTCTGAAGATGTCTTTAATTTTCAGGTTTTTTAAATAAGCAAATCACTTGGAATGTAGGAAAAAGGGAAAGACAGCAAGCAAAAAAAAAAAAAAAAAGTTCGCCCTGTCCACCAACTGATTTTTGCTAATTTTGTTATTTTTCCCTTGAATTTTCATATAAACATAATTTAATATATAAACAATGTAATATCCTTCTCCCTGCCCACTTAGCATTAGATTACAAACATCTCCCGAATAAGGGAACTGTTCTCTTATCAGTACGTATTTAAAACACCTTTTTGGCCGGGCGCGGTGGCTCAAGCATGTAATCCCAGCACTTTGGGAGGCCGAGACGGGCGGATCACGAGGTCAGGAG